AGTTTAATAAAAGGGAGCAAAACCCACAAAATCACCTTGTAAAATCTTGAAACATGGAATTTTGAAGCTTTGAGAATACAAGTATTATATCTTTACTTTTACTCAAAAGATTGAAAAGTGATAGTAGGAGAAAAAGTGACGGATGATTTCTTTTTCTTTGCAAGAACAAGTTGGAATTCCTTTTGGAAGCTTGAAGACATAAGAAGATCTCATTTATACAGCCAAGGGGATGTATTTGAAGGCTACTCAAGAGTTACCAAAAGATAAGATCAAATGACCAAGGTTAAAGTAATGATGACCTTGGGTTAAAAACACTAGGTGCAAAAGAGAGATAAGTGTTCCAATCCAAAAGCTACAAATGGCTTAGTATGAGTAGCTAAAATGATATATTTGATTGAAAAGAGAGAGAGCATCATTGGTCAACATCTATCAATTTAATCCTAAGTCATTGCACTTCGAGTAACAATGGTCGCGAAAAATCATCTTTCGCACTTTCGTCACAAAATTAATGACCCACTTGAGATTCCATATGTATTATCCCAAACTCCGAGCTAATTAATACTTAACTTTATAGTTGATACATGATATTGTATGTCGCGACCTAACCTCCCGCGGTGCACCACCTAGGGGTTCGGCTAATGGATTACTAAGTCTAAACCTAACTCGGGCCCTCCCAAGCCCTACCAATTCGCGACTTAAGGTTTAAGTTCTTAACATGCAAATCATTTCGATCAGGAGTCGCCACTAATCTATTTTTTGGTGGGTTGATTAGAAACCCAAGTAAAGTATCGGGAGAATTACTTTACTCCTACAAACCAGAGATTATGGATTCGGGGACTTGATTACACTAGATTACTCTAATGCCCTTTCGGTACCTTTTCTCTTTTATTTAAAAAAAATATTTGCAAGCAGCTACAAACTAGAGATTATGGATTCGGGGACTTGATTACACTAGATTACTCTAATGCCCTTTCAGTGCCTTTTCTCTTTTATTTAAAAAAAATATTTGCAAGCAGCTTGAATTGATTTTAAACTTATCCACTAACATGCGAGGTGGTTATGCGGGTACGCAACCAATAATATAACACTCAATAATGCAAAGCAATAAATAAATTGCAAGATAGGGACTTACCTCAAAGCAACAAAAGCATCTGTAATGTTAGTTAGAAAATCACATTTACAATTCTAATATAATTTTTAATTAACACGCAATTTCACTCAAATCTTTTTTAGGGTTTTCTCTGATTTAACGAAAACTAAACTTTATGCAATGCATTCTACGTCTAGTATGACATGCGATATACGATTTATTTAAATGTCCTAATTCTAACAACAATTAAATGCACTATCTCTAATGTGGCACGCAAATGAACCTAGACGTGAGATTTCTAATGACAAGAATTAATTTATATGCAACTACTCTAATATGACATGCACGTGGTATTTTTTATATTTTTAAATTCTAAATAAATAATTAACCTAATTTAAGCATTTAATAATAAAATCTAAGGAAAGAATCTAATCTATTCTAAGAAAATAATCAAAATTTAACCTGAACATGCAATATATTATCTACTCAAATTTTACCTAATCTTTTTGTATTTTTTTTTATGGAAAAACAATCAATTCAATTCAAACAAAATACAGAAAGAAATAAAGTGAACACGACACTCAATCACAAGAAATATTATCCATATCCATTTAAATTTAGAAATAATAGATTGACAAATTATATCTCGGGCATGAGGATCAGATTGGTCAATCTTTCGCACAATCGCGAATCATATCTCGGGCAAGAGATTGGATTGACGATTTTCCGTGCGATCGCGAGTCATATTTCTGACATAAAATCGAACTGTCGACCATAGCACGTTGCGAAATTAGGAAATAATTCCTAATTTAAGGGTACTTGGGAGTTTTCATGGATATGGTAATGTTACTCAAAGATTTAAACAAGATTGCAATTTCACAAATTAGGCAACAAAATATATGAAAATTGAATAATGAAAATTCTTACCTAATCCACGATATTTGCTCGAATAGCGTTTCCAAATTCGGACGGACGACGGATCCGGATTGCGGATCGTGGGACTCGACGGATGGTGGCTTGCGGTGTGACTCGGCTGGGGAAGGCTTGGCAGTACTCACGATGGACTCGCGGTATGCCGACGACAACAATGCTCACGGATCGCGGTGACGAGGAACTTCAGTTCACGGCCAGCGATTCAAGGATCGATGCTCGGTACGTCGCAAGGACAGCGACTTGGGGAACCTGTGAAAAGAGGAATTTTGGTGAAGCAATTAGCAGCACAGGACAGCACGGCTGATCGCTCGAAGTGGATTCGTGGGCAGCAAAGTCGTAGCGAGTTCGGAGCGGAGAGAGACGTGGTGATATCGTGGCTCGAGCAAGGAAACAACTGGTCGCCGCCTCAACTCGCGATGTAGGCCGAATTCATGTGTATCAATGTGGCCGTGTATGGAATTGTGTGGCCTCCTCTCTATACTCTCACTCACGATTTTTTGGGCCCCCCGTGAAGTGAAGCCCCCCTCCTCCTTTTATATATATTTTTTCACCGACAAATCCTTGGACGCATGAATATTTTCTTCCCTCTTTCTTTTCAATCAGATATTCCTTTTGTTAACTAAATCTTGCTCTCGATTATTTATTCCCTCGAATAGTTGATCTCACAAATATCACGGGAGTTATGCCGATTGCTTCTTTCTTATTTGCCGTGTGACCAAAATCTTGATAATATCAAGCTTTATCGCTTCAAATTTTCATCAATTTTTCCTAACTTGATGCACGTGATTTCGGCCACCGCAAGCTTAGTCCAGTTAAGCTCAGAATCATTCGCTCAAGTCCACCAGCCGGCCCAATGCCAATGCAAATGCAACTATATGAGCCTAATTACTGATGCATATGCTCCTAATCTATATGCAATTTAACTAATATTTTTTGTCTAAGGGCCGAGATCGATCCTTAATTTTTATGCAATGAACGATTAGCTGGGTCGCCAAAATTTAGGTGTCAACATTGTGCACGGGCATTGGTTAGGAAGTTCAATAAAGGCCCTAGTGTTGCAACTTGTATACTATCATCAGCTTTGTGATTTGTATCACATATCATCTTTGAGCCTCGAGACACACATCATCTACCTCCCTGGCCAGATGCTATATTAGTCCTTGTATGTATTTGTGCACAGAGGAGTGAGCTTTAACACGATTCAAACCGTTGAACCAAATCATTTTCAAGACATGGTTCGGTCCGGTTTACGAGGGGATGTCTTTTAAAAAATAGTTCATAATCCCGTACCGGACTGCATTCTGCAGTTTGGGTTGGTTTCAAAACCACTAAATCGATTCAACTTCATCGGGTCGGCATTCTTAAAACTTATCAAATCGAAGACATAACATGTTTTTTAGAGAGAGATTGGGATTTTTGCCCTAGGACCAAAAGATACAATCATGTAAGTTTGTCCATCTGAATGGAATCCTGTGGTAGGTCATTAATTTAATACATTTAGGCGAGGTAGGTAATGGGACGCTGGACTTTAGTAGAGATAGGCTGCTTGGAATTTCTCTAAACTTTACAGATATCTGCATGGTCTCATGTGCGCCCCCTCACGAATCCATGAGACCACGACCCTCCAATTTTCGGGAAAATTATCCAAAAAGTCCTAAACTTATCGCATTTTTGCCAATTCAGTCCTAAATCTTTTAAATTTGTCAATTCAGTCCTAAACTTTTTTACTTCTTGCCAATTCAGTCCATCCGGCCAATTTTGTCTTACCGGGACTTACGTGGCTGCCGGCTGTCCAGCCAACGCTAACGTGGCAATTTTTTAATTTTTTTTTCGAATTTTTTTATCTTTTTAATCTTTTTTTCTGCCCTTCTTTCCTCTGGCCGATCCGGCGAGAGGCGCCATCGTCGGCCTCTGGCAAAGCTTGCCCTCGCTGGCCACTAGCGAGAGCGAGCCTCGCCCACCGTTGCCAGGCCGACCTCACCCAACGACAACTAGGCCGGCCAACACCATCATAGGTCACCATGGCTAGGCGAGGCTCGACCTCGCTAGAGCCTCACCTAGCCATGGCGAGGCCAACCTCGTTGTCGCTGGGTTTCACCTCGCCCAACGACGGCGAGGTTGGCCTCACCTTGGTTGGGCAAGGTCGGCTTGGCAGCGGCGAGGGTGAGCTTCGCCAAAGGCTGGCAAGGTCAACCTCCTTGTCGGCCCGCGCCTCTAGCCAGTTGCCAGACCAACCAGAGGGAAAAAGGCAGAAAAAAAAATATTAAAAAAATTGAAAAATATTAAAAATTTTGAAAAAACTATTTAAAAATGCCACGTCAGCGTGAGTCGAACGGCCAGCACTAGCCGACGGCCACGTTAGCGCCGACCAGCCAAAATTGGCTGAATGGACTCAATTGATAAGAGGTGAAAATGTTTATGACTAAATTGACAAACTTAAAAGGTTTATAACTGAATTGACAAAAATGCAATAGATTCGTGACTCTTTAAATAATTTTCCCCTAATTTTCTATCACAACTTTAAGATATAAGGCTAGTGGTAGTGGCCATCGGAGACATACAACAGCCAAGATGCTTTCTTTACTTACTAGATCAAAAGTTAAGCTGACCGTAGATTCATAGCATAGATTCTTCTTGAGAAACGGAACGAATAGACAAGACATTCTCTCTTTCTTATTTGTCGTCGTGCATCGGTAAAAGAGACGTAGCTTTCGAATCTAAACTTTAAATAACCCGTCCATCTGAACTGCATCCTAGACTATTGTTGTTTCTTCAAATCTTGCTCGGGCATGCAATTTCGTCCATTAATACCCGGATTACAATCGCTACCTCGATCCGGTCGGGCCGGTTGGTGGAATAGAATGACCCTCTCCTATTTCGCCGTACAAAATCGAACTAAGCTAGGCAACCAACTACCCCATGTAATGCAAAGGAGGTACAATGGCAATTCAGTGAATTTTACTAATTCCACAAACAATTCGAATAAATTAAAGCCAATTATCATAAACAATTCGGAAGAACGTAGGATCATACAGTGGAGAGACAATATATATTACATTGCGCGCTGAATTTTTACTAATTTCACAAACATGTTCTGCTAATTTTAAGCAAAAATTTATTCCACGTCAGCAGCTCCAACCTAATATCCAGCATCACGCAATAAAAATAGGCTTGAAAAATCCTTCTTTGGGCCCCGAGAGAAAAAAAAAAAAAGGAATGAAGAAAAAGGAAAAGAACCCTCAGAAGAAGCCGTCGTCGACGGCCAAAACCTTCATCAGCCCATCGAGCGACACGCCCTCCGTCTCGTTGCCGCCGCCCAGCCTGATCATCGCCTTGATCTCGTCCTCGCTCGCGTCTAGCCCCGCCCACACCATGTAGCTCCTCAGGTCCTCGCAGCTCAGCCTCCCGTCCCCGTCCTTGTCCATGACCCTGAACACGTCCTCCATGAGCCCCCCCGCCGGCGACGGCGGCGGCGACGACCGCGTCCTCCTCGAGCCCCCCCTCGTCTTCCCCGCGCCGTCCCCGCCGCCGACGCCGCCGCCCAGCACGCGCTCGAACTCCTCGTACTCCACGAAGCCGTCGCGGTTCGCGTCCGCGACCGCCATCATCGTCGCCAGGACGTCCTCGTCGCCCCCGCCCCCGCCCCCACCGGAGAACCCGGCGTAGAAGGAGCGGAGGTCGTCGCTGCTGATCTTGCCGTCGCGGTCGGCGTCGAGGACGTCGAACGCCGACCTGAGGTGGGGCCTCGCCGGGGCATCCCGGCGGAGGTTCCTGTCGGAAGGGCACATCCCCGGGCGATCGCCGTGCGCGGAACGGAACGAAGAGAGAGTCCGGCCCGTGGGTTCTTCTTCCTTTTGTACGGTTGCAAATGAAAGGTGCAATGCGAAAATTGATGAACAATGGAATGAGAGAGAAGGGTTTGGTCATATATATATATACGGCGTAAGGGGACCGAGCACCAAGGGCTGGAGCCTTGTGTGGGGGCCCACCTTTTTTTTTTGTTTTTTTGTTATTTATATTTTTTTGGGATTTATTGAAAGTAATATTCCATTTTTTTTCCCGATATTGATTTTACATGTCACGAAAATAATCGGGACGAACCAAAGATTACAATGTGTCATTATATTTAAAGATTACTATCACGAAAAATCCCAAACACATTTATCTCAAACTAATTTTTGGATCACCGAAAAACGTAACTAGTGTAGATTTCAACGTGAATTTTGTCAAGTCATTTGAGTTATTGTCATATGTCGTCCAACTCATCAATTTCACGGTAAATTTTGATGGAAGCTAATGGAGGGTAAACATGCCACGAGCGTACTGGTTTGGGGTTTTCAACTTGGGATAATTAATTTTTGGTAAATTTATCTATAGGTGTATCGATTTAGAATTTTTCATGATATTAACCCTATATTTAATTACGTTATAGTTGCCTCGAGGGAAATTTTGTGATAAAGTGCCTAAAATTATGTCAAAAATTAAAAATTGACAGATTTTGTCGAATCGTGGGTTTGCAAAATTTCGATATTTCAGATGTTATTAAATTACCTACCGTCGTTTATATATTTATTAATTCGTGTCAAATGCGTATTGAAATCGCGGCGCCCACGGCGGAGTTGTTGGCGGGACATTTGTTTGGCTTGGTGGACAAGGTTCGCGCCGCGTTGTTGGTCCCATGCGGCGCACGTGTTATGCATTGACACGCACGTCGTGACGTCGCCGGGGGTCGGGAGAAGCGGAACGGTCGGTCGTCGCACGGTGATCCCCCGGTCGTCGTCTTGTGCGTTCTGAACTGTGGCACGAGCTGTTTGGTCTGACCGATGGATCTCCTTCTTTTTCCCGATATGGGTGATTTTAGATCTGATTAGGCTTTGCAAATTAAGGGGGGTAATCTCAATGATTGATTGATTAGACTTTCTTGTCAAACGCATGATTTTCTCGCGGTTTTCTAAAAGTCCAGTATTTAAAATTACACATTTTAAAGTCATTCATTGTCTTTAGATGTGATTAGGCTCTGAAAAGACGTTTATAGTTCAAAATACCATGAAAAATAAATTTTAAGAGACTTTTGATGTCGCAACGGTCAGAATAATAATATATCGAACCATGCGTTCGTCCAACGCAAAATCGCGGGTGGTATTGGATCAGGAGGTTCTCGGTTCAAATTTTCTGGGAAGGGGAGCGTTAGAATAATTAAATATTAAATCACGCCTCCGGAATTTTATTAAAAAGTAGTGAAAAAAAAATTTTAAGTCTTTGGATGTTGAATTTTAATTTATGCCGCTAGTAGCTACCGTATTCTAATTTGTGACATATGGTTGGGTTTTATTATTCTGCCAAATTAGTTTCTGTTTATATTCGTCTATTTAGAAGGTATATTCTATATTGTGAGCCAAGATTTCTTGGTGCATATTATCACTACCATTAACGAGATCACGATGTGATCTATTATTGCGAATTAGACAAGAGGGTCACCTATTATTAACAGATCGCGAGTTGAATTCAAGTCCCGAGTAAAGATTTCTTTACTGATAAGTTTTAGTGGGCTGGCTCTGCCTATATAAGATTTTTATGATAGATCTTGATAGGCTGCCATGACTTGGTATGCCTAGACGGGATCTTTATGATAAATCCTAATGCGGGCCGCCCTTGTCACACTTTCACTAAAAAAGAAAAAGAAACAGAATTCACTCTCTCAATCAATAGACATGTTAATCATATTTTATAAAAAGAAAAGAGAGCAGGACTCACCTACCTAAGTACCTATCTGCGAGGACTTTGGAATGCAGAAGTTGCGGAGGTAGGAAATTAGAACAGTGCCACCAGCCAGTGGCGGCTTTGCCACCTTCTCCTTCTCCTTCAAAGGTACGAACTTAATTTTACCACAAAGTCGAAGACGAAAGGGAGACGATGACGAAGGAATCACGCTCGCACTCGCAATCCCCGCACATTTGCAGTCAGATCCCACATCTCCTCTCGTCAACCACACATTTGCGAAGGAAGAGAGGTATATTCTATAGGTTATTGTAGAAAACTAAGTGGGACCCCAAAAACTAGGGATATCATGCCTGCCCAAGAAAAGTCCTTTTTCTTTAAATATAAAAAAACATATCTTGAATTGTCAATTTGATATTAAAAAACATACCACTGCTCTTTAAAATTATAAATTTGCTGCACTAAATCTGCCAAAATCACTAGAATACCCCCTCTCATACGAAGGTCCAATAACCCCAACTCGCACCAGCGCGATAACAAAACTCTCGACTCATGTCCGCCGCCGCCAGCCGCCGCAATTGCTGCCTCTGACTGCTCGGCCAAAGTCCCTCATCACCGCATGGTGTCCACAGCCTCGATCTGAGGCTACGACACCATGCGGCGGCGGTTCAGGAAGTTCGACGACTTTTGGGTCCATCGGCTTTGCCGCCCCGTCGGGAGTGGCCAGGATGAGCGGCCGGAGAAACGTGGTAGTGCGGAGGCGGCCGTTGGCCGGAGAATAGCAATGATTGGCGATGCATTTCCGAGAATATTCGCCAACCACTCTAGCTTTCTCGGTCGTGCTCGTACCTCCCAAGGTCAACAGGTCCATGAGCAAGAACTCTGAATCTCTTATCAAATAATGTGATGATTGTCGTCACTTGCTACGACAATGGCCACGAAAGAGACCGACCTTAGTCCTGAGGCTGAGAATTTTCTTTGCTAATTTTTTTTTTATCGAATTTTTTCTTTCCTAAATTATGCAGCGCAAAATGAATTAAGATTCTCTAACTCTGATCATGCCAAAGGGGTGAGTGCTAGATCCGTCAAATGAATGGATCAAGTCGAAAATGGTCCGATCTAAATTGACCCATTTAACACATTTTGATCCATTTTCATACAATACAAATTTGATGACCCATACTCAACCTTTAAGTGAAGGTGAGAACTAGAAATTTTATAATATAGCATATCGCTTTCATAGAAGAATCGTATAGCTTTTTCATTTCTTTTTCTTTTTTTGTGAGATTGCAGGTAGGTGGTGTTCGGGATAGTTTCACGCATCTCGACTGACCCACTTCCAAGACTATCTTAAGGACGCGCTCCCGCCTGCTGCCAAATGAACATAATACCACAATAAGAGAAGCGAACTCTTAATGCATTCTTAAAATCATGTACAATTTTACTTCTACCAAATGATCGGCAACTTTGCACTTGTCAATTTATCTGTGATTCATTCGCTTTAATATGTGTATCTTTTCTCTAAAGACAATGAATGACTTTGCCCTCCATCCCGAATTCATAAAAGTATCAGACTGATTTCACACGTCATAAAAGAGTATAGCTGAAATTTGACTACCAATTACAATAAGTTGTTTAAGCCTAAAGGTTCGGGAAGGTCTAAATATGTCCATATAGAGAAAATTACAAAAAAAAATGTCATGAACCTATTGTACGGACGCCAATTAAATCCAAAACCTTTCAATTTGATCAGTTTTAATCCTAAAACTTTTGAAAATTTGTCAATACAGTCAACTTTGCCGCACACTAGCTGCGGGCTCGTGAACCATCAAATGGGTCATAGGTTAACCAATAACCATACAAGGCTTTGTGTTGATGGAGACTCTGTGATGTTATTGTTCTATTGATTAGGCACAGACAAATAGAGTGAGATTTGTCTAGACAAAGAGAGTGTCGACCGAAGCTTCTGGACTTTAGCGCTAGAGAATATATTCTCCCCATCTTCAATTTTTTGTTACCACACGATCCACGTAACGGCGGTCACGTTGTAGCAGCAAACGTCCAAACCTTGCCCTTCAATTTATTGCATTTTCTATTTGACTCCTTCCTACACATGGGAATGTGATTTGTAGACAACCAAAATGGGTCCAGTGAAAGACCCCAAATTCAAATCAATGTGACCCATTTTTTTGGGACTTTGACCAAAAACAAATAATTTTGCTGAATCTGTGACGCCAGCAGTGACCTAGGTAGCTAGCCCCCACTCTCGCTACGACCCCAACAATTCGTTTCCATATGTGATGGGTCTTGTCATCGTGTGGGGCAACGAAAACCTGAAGGGGGATTTTGAATTTATAATTCCTTGGTGGGTTTGCGATGGGAGGAATGAGATGTTCTCAAAAGAACGAACTCGCTAATTTTTCTTACAGAAATGGATGCAAGTACTTCTTGCTTCTGATCATGCGTGGGTCATTTAATATGAGACGAATATGCCCGGTATCCGGCTCTTTCGATGCCAACTTTCGCCGGTGGAGAGCAGACAGTATCCCCATCATGACTTAGATCTGTCACTTCTTCTCAATAATGGAGAAGAGAAGTGGTTCTTTTTCACACGATTGTTCCAACTGACATATCAAATCCCTCCATCTAAGCCTACTAAGATAACTCCACAGCAAAATTTTAACTTGAATGTGCTTCTTTTACACTGAAAGTCACATTAAGAAGGCACAACAGAGACATGACGCATAGACAAAAAGAGCAAACTGAGATAACCAAGGTCCATTTGAAGTGATTAATTCTTCAGTTTGTACACGCTGGTTGTCTACGGCAGACCGAAGATGAGAAGATTGTCCTAAGACAAATTGTTTATCCTAGTTCCAACATGGCATCAGCCAAATACATCAAAAACCAACTCCTTTTAGCTTTTGTCAGTTGCCAGAATCAACAATATCATGTCGCAAAAGGACAAGATGCTCTCGTCTTCCACCGTAGACATTATGTCAACAATATCATGTCGCAAAAGGACAAGATGCTCTCGTCTTCCACCGTAGACATTATGTTAACCTACCGCCGTCCCATATCAGGGAAACAAAAAAGATGTATTCTGTGTTGTGTGTGGCCATCTAATCTAAAAGCAGAAAAGAAAAATGTGAACGAAGAGAGCTTTTTAGGTAAGTTACATCGGTAAAAGTGCAGCAGCTCCAAACTAATGTTTGGCGATAGGCGCTTCATCCCAATTAAGATGACAGAAACCCTGAGAAGACTGGATGCAATTCTTCTTTGAACCCGCTCTTGAATCAGCGCACAGGATTAGAGAAAAATATGACCGCAAAATAGACAATAAATCCAGCAACAAGAATGCCACCATAAATATAAGTTTGAGAAGACTGCATGGGATATTTGTACTCAATGTTGCAGCATCTCATTTTCTCGCGCTCGCCAGCCAAAACCCGGTCCACATATCTGCACCCAATATAGGCATAGGATTTAGAAAATGAAACACAAGCAGCTGCTACTCAGTCTTTTAGATGGAACAGCAGATCAACTATCTTGTTTCCCAAGAAACATTAACTTACTGTAATGTGAACATAGTGCTTTGAAGAATATCCGAACTGTTTAGATGTGCATCTTGTAACCGGTGATCATACAACAACGAAGATAGATCTACAAGCTGTTCTTCAAGGCTCTGTCGATCAAGTGAAGTCGGGGCATTTTAATATATTCAAAACATTGTGTTGAAGCAAAACTATTTAAAAAAAAATAGCCACTTACATCCAAGTACTTCTCCAATCTTTCGACTAATTCATGAGGGAAAGGCTCTGGCAAGTTACTAGTCTTTTTGTAGAACTTTTCCAGCCACAGCTCAGTGCTTGATTTGTTCTTTTTCCCCTTGACTGGTTCACCGAGCGGGGTTTTCAAATAGTCTGATGCAAAACCTTGTACAACCTGTATAAAACGAGCCCTTGATAAGCATCGACAACAGTAAATGAATAAGAAGATTAAAATGTAGTCACCTCTGATGTATCCCGAATTTTGTGAAGTGCAGCATCCACACGCGCATATATTGTATTCCTCTGTCAAAAAAATTGAACAGACTCTTATTGACACCACTAAGCTACGCAACATCTTCAACCGATCAAGGTCAAGAAACAAATAGATATGCTACGCCAGGATATTTGAGCTGTTTCCAGCATCCATCATCAGGCAGAGAAAACAGTGAGATTCACTTTATTGTGATTTTATAGGAAGAGGCCTCACCAATGCAACATCTTTTAGCATTTGACTGATTTTGGAAGTATTAGAGAATGGGCCAAATGGATGGCAACCAGTCGCCCAGAGCCAATTGACAACTGCTCTTTCATGTACATGAGAAGCCTTCTCATAAGGTGCCGTAAGCCCACCAACAGCAGATGCAAGCCCAGCTAATATATGGCGCTGAACCTGATAAGGAAGAGCATGCCTTCTCTCTATTTCTGAAACATAACTGTATGGAGGACATATAACTTTTCAGATAGTCAAAATGGTACATACGCTCTCAATGAGATGCCATAAGCTCTCTTGTCGAGAGGTATACTGCTGAAGGAAAATCACATTCTCTTTTCAACAATGTGACGATGCTCCATTTTTCAAATAGCAGAACAAATCAGATAATAAGTCCTGTAGGAGGAAACTTCTAGCATATAAAATAGACTCAATACCACGGAATTTGGGGTTAATGTGGCACATATATACAAATTTGAAGTTTTTCGTGATATTAACCCTATAAAATAAAGGATCTTAATATAGTTAGATGGTTCATTAATGCATGCAAAAGAAAACTAGTACTCTAAACAACAAAGAAATTAAGAGCTTCACTATGTTCACACCTACAGAAGGAGGCAGCAAACACACTAGAGATGCCTATACCGGAGAAATAAATGGAAAAATAGGATCGTGACAGGCATAGAGAACCAATCAAAGCCATCTCTAGAAATCCTTACTGCTGGGACTCTATGACTTGATAATGAAGGATGCAGTAAAAACAATGCTTTGAAACTTGAACCATGCAAATGACATGCCTCCTTACCTCAGTGGTATCTTTTCATTGGGATGCTGAAGTACTATCACGACATCACGGCCTGTCCACACAAGACTCTCATCTTCCATCATAAGATTTGCATCCACATCAGCTAGTGATAGCACAAAGCTGGGAAAATGAAAAACAAATTGAACTTTAATATCAATCCATTTAATCTTCTCTGTTCAAATGCAGGAGAGGAGAGAGGTTAATAAAAATTTACAAAAATCATGCACTTTGCCATCAAGTATTTATATTCTATGGTTATAAAAGATAGAGGGAGAAAAGGTACATAATGTATGACCTATTGATAAAACATGGAGAATTGCATTGCAGAAGTATTGCTAGAGCAGACTAGAGATCTGTCTCTACACCAGTAAATAGAAACCAACAAGACTCTATCTCACATGAATATTGAAAGTCTTCAGAGATCCAACAAGAGGTTATTAATAAGTCGTCAAAGACATTTTGACATGCTTAATTTCAAGGTAAGCACAAGGCAAACTGAAATTGGAACTACTTCGACATCAAGAAGCTTCATTCACCAATCTCAAATAGCTCAACAGTTTCTAGAAATAGTATATTGTCAGCCAAAAAGGTTCAAGTCTTACGGGAAAATGCAGAAGGGACTCATAATTTAGGCTTTCAACACAAGATTAGTGGAAGGTATTTCTTTTGTACGGTAGATACACAAAAAACATATGTATCTATCAGAAGACCCCAGAGAAGTCAAGTAATGAAGGTTCTTACTTTTGGTTGATTTCAGGATTTGACTTTAGTCAATATGACATCCAGAAAGCCACGTTTCCCAGAACAGCGCCTTATAAATGCTAAGTGCAGTTCAGAACCAAACAACTACTAATCTAAGGAAGAGTGTGTACTAACAAAAATCTTTACCAAAAAGAAAATTATGCAAGATTACGTAAAAACTTTTCCCTCCTATATGAGAACAACTAAAAAGTTTCGGCCACTTTGATGTAGGATTTAGCACGATGCAATAGTATCATTCGTAACAATTATAAATTTAATAGAGAAAATAGCAGATGAGATCCAGGAATACATCAATATAAAATAGCAACAGAACTATGTGACAGAATTCCAACAAAGTGGCATTCTCACACAGGAATCACTCTGGTCCCATATGTTCGGTGCAAATCCCCCTTCTCCTTTTTCACCCCCTTCTTCTTGTCCTTTCCAATCTTGGATTCATAAGTGGCCCAAAGAGGTTTATGCTTAAGTATGGAATCACTTGAATCATCTGATTCACGCATCCAGTCCTACACACAGAAAACCTGAGAAAAATTACCGCACTAGATAATGAAAAGCAAAATCGCCAAATGTCATTCCGTTAAGTGCTATGAGAAACTGGAAATGTGTAGAATGCTAGGCATTGATCTTGTAACACCCAGGAGACAATTGAATTGCATAGTGAGCTTGTACAGACCTGGCGGAGGAAAAATTTATTTGAAAGAGATGGATCCGCAACTTCCAGTAAACCAGCAGCAAGCACATCAGTGGACCGTTCCATTTCCTGCAGATAATATCTCCAAGTAAATCCATTGGCTCGTAGAAGGATTAGCTCTAAGGCAAAATCATATGACCTTAAGGCCTCTGCTACCCACAGCACTACACATGGCCTTGGGCAAATTGTCTTCGTCCCTCACGCTTTTCATAGATCGTGAGTGATCAAAGGATCAAGGGGGTGAAAACAAACATACTTATGAAGAAGGAGCTCTTCACGAGAGTGTAAGTACAGGCCGAGCAATCTACAATCTCAGGCTATGGAACTATTCCAAATCGTTGCACCCCTTCAAACCCCACCCAATTGGAAAAAAATAGGCATGCTAGTTATCGGGTATTGACTAGAGATAGAGAGGGAGAGAGCTCTCACTTCTTTGAGAATAGCCCCATCAAGATAAGTCTTAGTATGAACATGAAAACGTCCATCCTTTTTTGTCTCTTGCAATGAATGCCCTCGCATTGCTTTAGAGACGGCAATGGCAAGCTTCTCATGGCGATGTAAAGCATGTGAACCCCCAATAATAACTATTTCTTGGCCATCATGAACCATCTTCTTTACCTAGCAGCAGCAGAAGAATAATAACATAAGAAAATTTCCAACTCTAGGGAATATGCACGGTAAAATAGAGTCAATAATTAGAGTAACTCTTATTTGGACAAATTGACACAGATGATTGAAGCCAACCAATATGCCATAACTTTCACAGAAACGACCATGCACATAGTTAACAAACAAGAGAACATTGTTATGGCCTAATACAATGAAGTTTTCTTGTTTATTGTTTTCTTCAATTGATCAAACATGCCAAAACGAATTCTTGAGCATTGCCAATAAGTTTCCTGAAACCAAGAAAGACCAACCTTAAACACCAAGAAATGGATCCAACCGGCTCCATCATTCTATTCTTACACAATCTTAGAAAACTGCACCAATTTTTCCAAGCTACTCTACTGGAATTTCTTTTAGTTGAATGTTATCCTAATTCATCGAGTTAAAGCTCGAAATTATTCTTTTAGGTAAACGTGTTAGCAGATTGTATGTGCTTATGCAAAACCTGTCTTCCTCCCAGAAGCCTGGTTGGTACATTCCAGAGGGCAATCAAACCTGTGACCCCCACAGATTCAAACAAGGGAACAAAAACTTGCGTAGCTTCCTAAATTAAAAGAAAAGTACAGGCAATTGCTCTAGATAGCTAACAACAAACATAAGCATTATCTGAATTTTGAATAACCATGACGCAGAATGAGCTTTCAGCACATTTAATTTTGAAATTTTCACTTTACTTCTTGCAAATAATGTTGTCATCTTGAACCGTGAATTAGTTTATGACACCAAGGGCATAAGTCAAGACACAATCAGCCCGATAATCATGTTAGAGACAGTACCACAGGATCAACATACAATTGATTCATCAGAGATAGCATATTTAGCCCAGAGAGAAGAACAAGAAAAGGCCATTTACCTCGGCCTCGATTTCCGCAATATCTATGCTGTAATTGTGGCCTTGTTCAATAATATTAAACCGATTATGATTCTGAAGAACGATGATTGGTATAAGCAACCTCGTTGTGAGATCAACAGTTTCAAACCTGGATAAACAAAACACATAGAGATCACCACTTAAAGTGGAATTGCATAAACAAAAAGATGAACAGTAAACCCATAGAAATAATTCTAGGCATTTAAAAGTAAGAGTGTATGACACAGCTAAATCTAATTCTAGGTATGTCTGTATTATGCAGATAAAATCTTGGCAATCTGCAAAACCAATTAGGTCTCATGTACCTTATGTCTGGAGCTATAACGTGCTCAACTGTTGTTGCTATAAGACTTGCAAGTTGTCCATCAAACACATCGTGGGAAGCATGGTCATTCACAGCACTGAAACCCTTGGGGAACATAATGTTTCGTAAACGTGGTAGAGTTCTGAAGCTGACACTTCCCTCCTCTGTTTCGATCTTTCCATATGTGCAAGGACCAGCTGAGAGATCGATCACGACAAATCTGGAGTGCAACACATATTTGACAGACTACAATTGTCAGACCATTCTCGCCTTTTAAGCACCTAAACTACACATTTTTTTTTTTTGTGTTAACAGACAATTTCTTGACAAAACTGAAGTCAGAAAACTGCAATGTGGAACTTTCCGTGCCATACCAATCACTTCAAGAAAAAGTGAAACATAGATACAGAAAAAGCAAACAACCATCCCATCATGTGTTTTTAACATGAGTGACTGCTTGACTGGTACCTGCCAGATCCAAGCCAAACTTGAGATGCCCCTCCGCCATTATAGCGGTAGCGGTAGATGTAATCTCCTTCCTGTTTCTTCATGTCTTCCTCAGTCAATTGGCCTATTCTCCCATACATCAAAGTGTCGAGATCAATTTCCTTATTCCTGGGATCCATTCTGACCTGTAAAAATACACAAGTAAGCCTATCAAGAGAAAGGCTAAGAAGTCACAAGCCAGCAGAAGAGAAGTCTACAACCCAGCCAGACACCCAAAGAGAAACTCCTTGAAGGAAAAAACAATGTCCTAAAAGTCACAGTTTCATATTAACTTTTCTGGTCATCCATCAACAACTTAAATTATGACAAAGGGGAAAAAGAAGTCAGAAGTATATAGAGTACACCATCACCATGTTAACAACAATTAAGACTGAATTTGAGACTATACTTTATCAAAGTTAACAATGAATATTGCATTCGGCACAGGTCTATCCATCTCTGAAGCAGAAACTCCACCGTCCTCCATATCGAATATGTAGGAATATAACCTCTGAAATACAGGTTCCGCAGCCGTTGCTTCCACCTCAAACAAAGGTACCTCTTTCCCAAAATCGCCCTGAATTTTCGGCAAAAAAGCATTGTTTAGAAGCATCAATATATTCAAACTTTAAGGACAGTCAATCACAGCAATCAACACAAGCTTTGTAGAACTTACCTCTCTTGCAGTTCCAGACGGAATCATCGCCTCTTTCACGGCCTTCTCAAGTGCAATGAGTTCAGGTTGTGCAGCCTATTAAGTAATACATCATTTACGGAAGATGAGTTTATGTTTACCGCCAAATTACATATACGGACAAGGATAGATACCAAATCACCAAGCATATATATAGTAAACCCAACAGTTCATGACTAAACTCTAGAAGACACCGACACAGAGAGCATAATACATCTACTTGAAAAAGATGTTATTGAGCAAAATCGTACTGGCTGAAAATAGAATACGAAAATAAAAGTAGAAGATAGGGGAAAACTCCCGAGCAGAAAGATATAAACAAAATCTACAAAGAAATTATTACATGATATGCATTGTACACAATGTGATGCTCGATGTCAATAGGCTCTCCTGTCTCCAAACACGAAGGCCTGTGTGATGGAAAGCTAACTCTCAGGAACTCTTCAAACTTGTGAGCGTCCATTTTGTACCTATATCCTCCGTCACCATCAAAACCTATAAGGACTACATTCACTTCCAATGGGACCTGAAACGGCACCTGCATCAAAATCCACCAACAATCAAACGATACTCAAAAATGTTTCCGAGCGAAGTATAAAATTTCAGCACACGCATAAACTAGACAAGAACAATGGTGACACTACTACCTTACATCAAATATATTATTGTCGATTGCTCATATCATTAAGCAATACAATGACGGGAAAATTTGTTCCCTAATTTCATACTAGCGCCAGGATCCTTAGCTAATGTCGTTTGTATAAAACGTCTAAGATAATCTTGAGCCAGTGAACTCGAAACTAGTAGCAATGTACAATCAGCCAGTTCGCTCATCCTTCAAAATAAGACACCACACAATCTTGCCAAATGACAATTTGGCAGTGCTTTTACTACGAACGCCCCCGAATTCTTTCATTTGATGATCCCGAACGCACAATTGCCGCCTCGAGCTTCGTTCTAAACTCACTGACACGCCTTCCCAGCAAAAGATTGCCCCCTCCTCCTCTCACATATTCTCCCTACTTCGTCCCATTCATTTGTGTACGCCATCGTTAACGCGATACCAAATCAATTCACAGGAGAAGCTGAGAGCATTCAACAGAGAATCTGAGGAAGAGAGAGAGAGAGAGAGAGAGAGAGAGAGAGAGAGAGATGGAGATCGATTGATCTAGAACCTCGGCCCGAGTGTGAAGCATCCGGCGAACGTCGGACCGGACGCCGTCCCTGACGTCCTGGAAGGCGCCGTGGTGCCACTGAGGGTGACCGGGATCTCGCCGGAAGGCCTGCGGAGCTGACTCGGACCGAGCCGCTAGCAGACTCAGAGCCAAGAGGAGGAAAGGAAACGCCAAGGACCTGGAGTCGACGGCCATGGAAGGATCGCCGGAGTCGAGCCGGATTCCGTCGACTTCGGAGGTCTGCGGAAAAACCCTGCCGACAAGAGGGGGCGAGCGCGAGGTTTTCACTGACGAAGACGAAGAGGATTGACGAACATTTTCTCGGCGAGTGAGCGTTGCTCTCTGCGCGATGAAGAGGAAGGAGAGAGAGAGAGAGAGAGGAAGATCGCTGTATTTTCGAAACTGCCCCTGTCAATTTTGATGTGTACGATGTTTGGGATCGGAACAATTTTCTAATTAGTGCTTTCATTTTCCCTATTTAGTGCTACAACCCCGTTTTTGTTCTCTATTTATGCAATCCAGTCCCTGACTCGTTCGACTCACGCTACTTGATTTTGCCATCAAGTAAATCTCAGCCAAAACCAGCACCCCTACAGATTAGACTAACACGGTAATTTCGAGGAAAAATGATACAAATGATCACTGAATTTTAATTTAATGTACAATGTAGCCTCTAAACTTTTAATCTGTTAAGTGCGATCCTTAGACTTTAGCCTAATATGTAATGGGGTCCATGAACTTTTAATTTATTCAATATGGTTCCTGAACTTCTGAAACATGATCAATTTAGTCCATTGACTATATGAAAATATTCAATATTGTCCCTGATCTTGAATTAATGGAAGGCACAACATTGAACATTTTAATATAGTTTAGTGATTACATTGAACATGTACTAAAAGTCCTAAAACCAAATTGAAGAAATTTAAAGTTCAGGGATTTTATTGTACATTGGGCTAAACTTCAGGGACCACATTTAACAAATTGAAAGTTTGAATATCACATTCCACGTCAGACCAAAGTTTTTTTTTTTTAATAAGAAAGCATAAGACCAAAGTTCATAGATCATTTGTATCATTAACCTTAATTTCAACCTTTTGTCATTCTGTTCGCCTTCAAACGTCAATGTCAAACCTGTACTGAATGAGAAGCTCGAAATTCATTACTAAATTGTTAAGAGAATGTGCAGACATCAACAAATCATGCTCATAATCCGCATTACAATAAGGAACACAGACATAAAATTTGAATGATAAAACGTAAATACAAAGCACGGTAAAGTTTAACTTGTGAATTATTTTAACAATTGTGATCGCAATATGTCCCTGGACTCGAATCATAGCAATAGCAACTAACGAGAGCGGGCTCGGGACATTCGATCTCGCGTCTCGGCCGCAAACCTTCCACTTAATTTAAACAGAAAAACAGAAATCACTCACGAGTTCACTACAAATTTCTACTTCACCATAAGCGAAGGTGCACATATAAAGTCACATCGACTATACCAATCACATAAAGTGACACTGTACATTCAATCTCTCTAGATAATCAATATATCATTATGCACTATGACTAGTATTGTCCAGCGAATCATTGATGGAATGTACCTATCAATAAACCTTGTAAATTGTCAATTTCCTATCCTATTTCAATCCCAAAAACTTCTTAACCATCCCGACAACTTTGACCACTAAACCCTTCTTCCCCTTGCCCGCCGGCGCCGGAGGAGGGTTGCCCCGGCGTGGCGTCTCGTCCAACCTCAACTCTTTGCTCAAACCAGCCAACGAAGCCCCGTCTTGGCTGAACGCTTGGTATAGTTCCGGATACAAGCGCTTGATGGACTGCTTGAACTTCTCCGGCACCGCCACTCTCGACGGCCCCCGCGGCACGCCTTCCCGGAAGTACCCGACCCGGACCCGCCCGTTCGCGTAGGCCTCGCAGGCCTGCAGTATGGCACGGGCCCGGTCCCGGAAGTGCCACGCGACAAAGGCCTCGAATCCCTTCGGAGGTGTCTTGATCAGGCGCAGCACGGACTGGCAAGAGAGGACGAAGATTTCCTCGTTGTAGGCGAAGGACTTCTTCTCGCCGGAAGTTCCGGGCTTGAAGGCCCCGTGACCCGGTTCGTTGTAGTAGGGTCTCTCGTTGAGCACGAGGGCCTGTATCGAGAGCAGCACCTGCAGGATCGTCGACTCCGTCGGGTTCCATCTCTCGCTCTTTCGTTTGCCTAACACACACACACAATCCCTTAATTTCGATAAACGGATTCATTCCGATCAGGAAAACCGAGAGTTTCTATCGAGCGCAAGATCGATAAAAGCCGCGAAACGAGAGGCGATTCGAACTGCCGATGCTTCCATGGAATGCCAGTACAGGATCGGAGATCACCATGACATTCTTTTGTGGAAGCAGGCGGCGATCAATAGCCTTTTGTACATTCAATCGGTGACCAAACCTTAGGGAGGGAGTATAAACATGACATGATGAGAAATCTCATGAATTACATATGAATCCGATTCAGAAATCATATGTAAATGTACCTACGTAAGTAATCAGATATACAAGCTTTTATAAACATGCATTGTCCTATGAATGCAACAGAAGTTACCATGCCACGTATTGAGCAAGCTCAAGCAGACGACGCCGCCACTGTAGAGGTTCGGGTTGATCCGGTACCCGAACGCCCGGTAGTGGACCCGCGGCGGCTGCGTCGGGTAATGGGGAGGGAAGGATATGTCGAAGAAGTAGAGGCCGTCGTGGTAGGGCGTGGCCGAGGCGCCCACCACGGCGGCCCGGAGGAGGTTAACCCTCTGCTCGTAGGCCCGCACGGTGATGGACTCCGGCAGGTGCTGCTCCAGGAGCTTCCACTCCTGCATGATCTTCGTCAGGGTCTCGGCCGGGATGGACTGGGTCGCGGCGTGGAAATAGTGGTCCGAGTGGTCGGAGACCACGTCGAAGCGCGGGAAGGGCTCGATCTCCTCGATCTCCGAGGCCGTCCTGCCGGGTTCAGCAGGGGCGGAGACAACGGCGGCGGCGGTTCCGCGCCGCCGGTTTCTTGACATGATTTTTGATGGTTTCTTGGGTTTCGCCCAAATATCGAGTGACCGTATGACTCTGCGCGAGAGAGAGAGAGGGAGGAGATACAACTCTAGGATTAGGAAGAAATTGCCGAACTGGGATTTGGTTTAGGAAATCTAATATTCAGCATCTGGTTTAGATTTTTAAAAAAATATTCTATATTATTTTCCGGATTAATGTCAATTATATTAAGATATTGAATTTCACAAAAAAAAAAAACATGCATATTTGAGTTTTTCGTAAATTGATTGACTAAATAAGCCTGCATCTTCGATAGAGCATGCATCGATATTTTTTTTTTGGGTCGAAAAATTTGCTAATATTGATAGTCAAGATATTTTATACGAAAAGCTCAAAGCAAGCACAATAAAATCCCAAAAGAGTAGGGGCGGACGGACTAACCACAAATAGGGGTAAAGAATTTAAACGATCGGACTTAATTGCCCGATCCACAATCCTATTTACAGCCCTTCCAAATTCAAACTCCGCGATAGAAATAAATCGGATAGGATGGGCGGATGGCTGATCTGCCACGATATAATTAAGTAAAAATCGAAAGTCATAATTAGATTCTGGTGATTCATCGTCCCATTTTGTACCTATGATGACCTCTATTCCCATGCGCTTGACCGATCCGTGCGCGTCGCGCGGGACCACGGATTGTTATTTAAGCCTAGTAAGAATATTTACAATATTGGTGCAAGCAGATTCGATCAGTTTTGCTTGAGGGCCTTGTGGTCCATTTCGAAGTGGTTGATTTTCTCCGATTTCCTGAAGTGCCTTTGCTTTTCATGTGTGGCTCGACGTATTGGTCTGATCACGTTGCTTTTCTTTACACGACATTACGCGTTTCTTATTGTGCAGGTATGGTTCTTAATTTGTCTTGCCTTGACGCATGAAGTTTCGGGTTCACAGCCACTTATTAATAGCTTCAATTCCTGTATTGGTAAGGGCTTGGAAAAGGGATCTTCCAAACTTACGGTACAAGATTACGTGCTTTACACCGTTCTCAAAAAAAAATTTAAGATGTAAAATAAAAGCGTGGCTTAATATTTAAATATTTAAATACCACATCCTCGCGCGTTGATTGGACTTTAAAATTTAAATATTCTAACACTTTCCCTCACGGGTAAATTGGACTTTGAAAATATGTAATTTTTTTTTGTCGAGCGTATAGTTTTATTTATCGAAACCTTGAACGCAAGGGCCTATGAACGAGGCATATAAACGGAGCAAATCCACAAAGGGGCTGAGAGAGTTGGACTAGCCAATTACGCGGGCGAGAATTTGTTATTTGAGCATTCACGACCTAGTCCACTACTCTATTTTACTTGGATATTATGTGAGATTTTGTAAGACCATTGCAAATTATTTTAACAATTCAAATTATTAAATGAAGCCGCGGTTTCATATTTAAATATTGGCCCGTTTCTTTAACCCAAAAAGAAAAGGAAAAAAAAAAGAAACTCAGAACTTACTAGTTTCTTGTGAGCTTAGTTTATTTTCAAATTCGATGTCCTTGAATATTTTTTGTGCATTTGTTTGAATTACTGTTGTATTTTGAAAATGTGATAATTAGGGGACCTCGAAAATTCGGATTCAAAATTCGATTATATTGGATCTCTTTGGAAATATGCTTGACGTGATTATAAGTTTAAACTTATATATAACCCTCTAGAAAATTATTGAGAATGTTTCTATAATGATTAGATAAATTAAAATTCGTTTGTTGCTTTTCTTCTCCCTAAATTTTCGGGATAAGCATAACAACACAACGAAACGTAGCAATATATTTAATCTGAAAAGGACGCTATCTGCAACTGTACTTTTTATCTACTCTACATTAAAAGAACTTCAAAAAGATTTTCAACTTAAAGCTGTATGGATTTATTTCTTTTCTCGGGATATATGTGACCATATCTATTATAACCAAATTACTCTTTTTCAATTGAGAAAGACAGCACTTTAATTGTGGTTTTTTTTCCATTTGATTTATTATGCCAAAAAAGAAAATTTTATTGATGCGTTTCTTTTACATTATTTTCAACATTCAAATTATAAAAATTGCGGTCATTGTTCATTCCAATTTTAAACTAATTAAAAAGTAAAAAAGCTTGAGTAGATCACATAGAACACCAAAGGACTTTTGAAATGTAGTCCTTTCCAAACGAGATCTTAACCAAAGTTAATTTCCAACGCACTTTTCAATTACAATTTACCAAACACCATTTGCATTTTGTAAAAACCCTTTTGTCTATAGGTCATTTCCATTTATGCAAAAAGGCTTTCTCCAAATGTTCTCCCAAATACACACGATTTTATATACATGTGATCTTCCTCCAATTATTAAGCCTAAGCTTTTTTGTTGCACTTTCTAACAATCTCCATTGCGTCGGTCTGTTTTATATAATAAATCATATTAGTAGCGCAAATCACCTGTTCCTACTATTTTAGCACAAGAATTAATCATTTTAGAGTTGCAGTCATGGCATTGCACGACATGTAATGCCGCCATAAATGTTAGCCACATATCTAGGAGCCCGATTGATTAGAATTGGTATTTAGATAATCATTTCGTAAAGTTAATAAGTACCGAATGTATTCTTTATTACGATGATTACACCATTCTCTCTTCCGCATGATCTCATCTTTAAAAAATAACGTAGTGTTATGAATCTCTCACACGTTGCCAATTCAAATTCAGGTCTTGTCTGATAGAACAAAAAAAGTTGAGTGCCGAAAATTTAAACATCAGATTTCAAGTGTTGATAATTTTAAATGCCGAAAAATGAAAATAAATGGTTGTTTGAGGATTCAGTCGGAATGAATGACGATGGTTCGGGATAAATCATGCTCGCCGCGTGACGAACGAAGCCACGGAGTCCCGACACATCGAACCCCCCTTCGAGTACGGCGGTACCGAGGATACGCAACGATTCGCAACCACGACTGATTTTGCAAAACAGTCATTGTTATCGCGACGGAATGATGTAGCGCTTCGCGCGACAATTTTTGTATCGGGTCTCTTGGTGGTTGATCGTGCTTGGGTCGTCGATAAATGCTCGACACATCACTTAACAAACCGATGTTTATACGATGTTTTATCACGCTTAGCATTCCCAAAGAAGCAATAAGGTTGAAGTAGCTAACGATTTTCCCACGACAAAACGTGAAACTAGAGATTACAGCAGAGGCTTTGCCTGGATTTTCTTCTGCCTTGCCACCACAGAAGAAAACCCCGTTTGGTTTAGTTTTAGGAAGGGGCTTATGGCCTCGAAAGCTCCTTCTCAAAATGTTGAACCGTTTGGTTCAACTTTCGACCTAGTATTGGCCAAATGCTAGCATTTGGAATGCGGAAAGCCCAAAGCTGGTCCGGACCAACTTTGAACTTTCGGTATTCCACAAATGCTGAACTCAAATTTTTTATCTCCAAATTACCCTCACTTATTTTGGCTTATTCCGATTTTGCCCCTCTTGTTACTGTTCATCTTCTTCGTGATGCAAATTAAGTAGGATGGAGTTTTGTGGTGGAGCCATTATCATCATTTGCTTCATTAGGCTCCATTCCGAGATTCCCTTCCACTGCCCTTCACAATAATTAGAAACCATTACTTTTTTTACCCCAGTAGATCAAAAAGCTTAATTATGCAGATAAAAAAAAACTTAATCGTTTCTTTTGAAATTGATTTGTTCGATATATAAAGAGGGCACTACTCAATAATCATATGTGTTGAGTGATGAGCAATTGCTTAATTATAAATGCTGACCAATAAAAAGAATGCTAAACGTGAAATCGTAGATTCCTTTCTTATAGATCGAGTAAAAAAAAATTTCAAAATTCTTTTATGAAACTTACCGACGATCTATTATCAACGCACATAAATGTTTCGGGGGTTTGTTTTTTTTTTTTTGGCACACGAGATACTAGAATAGTCGCTACATCGAGAAAAGGCCGCTATAAATCGGTTACGCTATTCGATTTCCCGCCCGATTTTCGATCCGCAAAAACAAAAGCTTGCCTCTCTTGCATAAATAGCAATTTCTTGTTTCCCAAACCCCATCTCCCCCAATAAGCAATTTGGTTGCATTACATCTAAGCCACACACCAAAGCATCTAGGCTCCCCTCCAAAACAGTGAAGCCTCTCCTTCATTAACCAACTCCTTCACCCTGCCCCCAAAACCATTCATTCACCACCTTCCAAATTGAAGACCCTTTTCCTTCTTCAACAATCAAAAGACATCCCTCCATTGAAAATCCCTTACCTCACATTTGCTCTTCCACACAGCAAGCCCTTCCCCAAGAGAATTCACAAGAGCCATTCAAAAGTATGCTCCCCTGTTCACCCTTGACGGCGAGGGCGATCGATCTCGCCCTCGCGACAGCTCTCGTCTTCTCCGTCTCCGTCGCGCTCCCCGCCGCCCGTGGATTGTCCCCGGGCGGGGTCATCGACTCCCCGCTGCTGACGCAGAAGGTCGCCACCAACCGGACGATAAAGGTCGACGTAAACGGGAACGGGGACTTCAAGTCTGTCCAGGCCGCCGTCGATTCGGTCCCCAATGGGAACTCCAATTGGGTCATCATCCATGTTAGGAAAGGAGTTTACAGGTAACACACAATTAGGACATTCTAGCTAGCTATGGAAAAATGGAGGATCATTGGTTTGATTTTTGCATGAAGTACGATGAGGAATGCCGATGCGAAACATTTGTCGAAATGGAGCGCGTCGCGTCGCGCAAATTTTCGCTTGAGCTTTAATGAAAACTGCTTCGAAATGAAGGTTTCCGCGATTATTTCTCGGACCTGCGAAGTTTTTCATCTCTTGAAATCGATTCGAATTTGGCAGGGAAAAGGTGCACGTACCAAAAGACAAGCCTTACATATTCATGAGAGGGAATGGCAAGGGAAGGTCTATCATTGCTTGGGCGCAGAGTTCTGCCGATAACGTCGAATCCGCGACTTTCAGAGTCGAAGCCCCTAACTTCATCGCCTTCGGTATTAGCTTCAAGGTTCGAACTCGAGACCTTCTGCTGTAATTTCGAATTCCATTGCTTCGCAAATGGCTTCTGCCAAAGCCTTTTCGCTCCAAGAAGTCGAGACAGCATGTTAAGGAGCGGATGCGCGAGTTTCAGTTTTTGCTGATCTCAATCATGCATATATATAATCCTTCTTTTACAATGCAGAACGATGCGCCGACGGGAGTGGCATACACGTCGCAGAACCAGTCGGTCGCGGCGTTCGTGGCGGCGGACAAGGCGGCTTTCTACCACTGCGCGTTCTACAGCACCCACAACACCCTCTTCGACTACAAGGGCCGGCATTACTACGACAACTGCTACGTCCAGGGCTCGATCGACTTCATCTTCGGCCGAGGCCGGTCCGTCTTTCACGTAAGCAAAACTTCCACATGAAATTCCATCTTCATACCAATGCGGCGGACAAAATCAGCCACGGTAATGAGATTTTGTACAAACGACTGACCGAGGGGAACGCGCAGAGTTGCGAGATATTCGTCATCGACGACAAGAGGGTGTCGATCCACGGTTCCATCACGGCCCAGAACAGAGAGAGCGCGGAGGAGAACAGCGGGTTCGTGTTTGTGAAGGGGAAGGTGTACGGTGTCGGCGACGTCTACCTCGGGCGAGCGAAAGGCGCCTACTCGAGGGTCGTCTTCGCGAAGACGTACCTCTCCAAAACCATAGTCCCCAACGGCTGGACCAACTGGAGCTACGATGGCAGCACGGAGTAAGTGATCTCAACCATTTTGCCTCACTTCAATCCTAAAGCATTTCAAACAATTCCGAAACATTTCGGATCGAATCATAATCCGTCAGTAATGTTGCCGACACGGCAATGACGGGTTCCAAATGGGTGATGAACCGCAGGAACTTGTACCATGCGGAGTACCACTGCCACGGGCCAGGGGCCGAGTCGACCGACCGAGCACCGTGGTCGCATAAGCTCACCGACGAGGAAGCCGCGCCGTTCATGTCGATCGATTACATCGACGGCCAGGAATGGCTCCCTGCCTGGCTATGAAGTCGTCCCTACTACCAATACCTGCCTATGTAGATACATATGTCCTCGTATGTTGTATGGTTAAATTCCAAAAAGAAAGTCCCAAAAAAACAGCAACAAGATGAGTGGTTTCTCAAGAAGTGCAAGTTAGAGTCATATCACTAGCTGAATTCAAAACACCTTCCTATTGTTTTATCCATTTTCCTCTCGCCACGTTTTATCGTTAAGCGCAAATGTATCGGGACGAATGCACGAGTTACTATACATATAAAACTTGGACCGTGTTTGGTCGCCCAGAAAAGTAAACGGGACTACTGCTCAACGTCCCAATCGGAATGTGATTGATTTTTATTTTTCATCGTTCTTACGAATGTAACTGACTAGATATGAAATCGGATACGCGAACAATTTCAATACTCGACAAAGTAGGAAAACACGAGATAATATCTTCGAATGCAAAACTCTTGCAAAGGAATTGAGCATCGGTTCGACGAGGAAAAAAAAAAAAATTTTGTCAAAGATGGGAAAAGAGTTTGAGGACCGGTTTTTAGCAAAATAATACGAAAAATAAAGGCCTTTTTTTGGTGAAATTGAAAATTAAGTGCTGGAAATTTAATTTTAAAAAAAAATGTCGAAAATAGAAATAAAATAAAAAAAGTAACGCGGGACTTAAGGAAAATTTCAATTAAGGACACCAAGTGGGGTCAAATTCTCAAAAAAGGGTCCAAAGTGAACATTGTATCGAATAAGGCGTGAAGTGCTTCAACCTGGGTCTCAAATAAGGACCCGAAGTGCCCAAAAAGTCTCAAATAAGGACTCGAGTCCCCGGCCAAAATACTCCGCGATCGGCGGAAAGCTACGTTCCGCACCTAGGAACAAGATAACTTTAATTTTTTTATTATTTTCTTTCTGTTTTACCTTTTCTGTTTTTTTTCTTTTCCGTTTCCTTTTTTTTTTCTTTTCTTCCTCCGCCGACCATGGCCGGGGCCGGCGGAGGTCGCCGGCCTCGGCGAGGCTGCCCTCGCTCGGGCCGGGCGAGGTCGCCCTCGCCGCCTCGAGCCAGAGCCACCCGCCGCGTCGGGCGACGCGCCGCCTCGCCTGGGCCGGGCGAGGTCGCCCTCGCCGGTTGGGGCGAGGTCGAGCCTCGCCGGATCCGGCGAGGGCTCGACTAGCCGGCCTCGCCGAGATCCGGCGAGGGCTCGACTCACCGGCGTCGGGCAAGGCCAGCCTCGCCAGTTGCAGGCGAGGTCGAGCCTCGCCAGATCTGGCGAGGGCTCGGCCCCGCCGGCCGCTAGCGAGGCTCGACCTCGCCAGCGCCGGCGGAGGAAGAAAAGAAAAAAATAAAAATAAAAGGAAAAGGAAAAGAAAAAAAAACACAAAAGGAAAAACAGGTCCTTATTTTGGCCGGCATTCCTCATCGTACTTCATGCCGGAACAGTAACTTTCTCGTCGGCCGGCAGGTATTTTTGTCGGCCGAGGACCCAGGTCCTTATTTGAGACTTTTTGAGCACTTCGGGTCTTTATTTGAGACTGATTGAGCACTTCATACCCTTATTTGACACAATGTTCACTTTGGACCCTTTTTTGAGAATTTGACCCCGTTTGGGTCCTTAATTGGAATTTTCCCCGGGACTTATAAAAGGTATACCAAGTCTGGGTATACGTACGGCTACAGGTATAGAGTGATTGTTAGGGTTTTGGAGCTCATCATCTCTCCCAATTTCTTCCTGCTTTCTTCTTCTTCTTCATCTTGCCGCGAGCTTCGACGCTTCTTGAAGCGAGAGAGAGAGGCCGGCGCCGATGGAGGGAGGAGATGACGCGGCGATCGAGAGGACGATCGACTCCAAGGACTTGCAGCAGCAGAACAAGGCGCTGGACAAGCTCACCGACCGCGTCGAAGATCGCCAGCTCGACTCCACTCGCGTTCAGGAGGTAAAATTTTTTTTGCCTCATTTCCCTCTCTCGTTCTTGGTTCGGGAAACCTCGCTCGCGATTCCGCTGGTCAAAACCGAAGAAGAAGTGTGTTGGTGAAGTTAAGGGATGAATCGGCGCGCGTATCGGCGATTGTCCAGAGCGCTAAATGTCTGCTTGAGATGAATGTCTTGTACGGTTTTACCACACGTGTAATAAAAATTTGGTCTTTGTGCAGGTAGGTAGATAGTTTCTTTTCATTGATCTTTGTTCCAAATTTTATCGTCGATAATCTTGTCTCTTGTCCTGGAATTAAGTTGGAGTGCCTGTTTTTGGGAAATTGGAGATCGCAAGTTGTTGGCGTATGTGATGATTTCGCCAGAATTTTTTTGGAGTGATTGGGTCGAGTGGGTACCGTCGTTGTCTTGTGAAATCTCGTGCGAATATCGGACTGTTTGATGTGGCAGGCGATGGCATCGATTGCTGCGTCCGCGGAAGCTGATAGGAATGCCATGAGGATGAGGTATCGTTTAATATCATTCAGTTCTTTGCTATGTTGGAATTACTTTGATAGATTTGCAATGTTTCAATTGTTTTGGCTTTACAATGGACTCATAGGCAGATCAGGGGGCATATTCTAATTTAAAGAATCAATGTGGCATTCAAAGTCGCGTGGAGATGTCACACTGGGTGCGACTATATATGGAACTCAATATCATTTTCAGAAACAAGGAAACAATGCACATAAGTTACTCGCAAGATTATGACCTAAACCCTTATGAGGATTAACTTGAACAGTTAATTATCTCTTTAAACCTCACTGCAGATCACTTAGGCACTGAAATACACTGCTTCTCAAACACCTCACAAGAGGGGCGCTTATTCTCACACAGGACACGTTGGACCTCCATAATCGAACGTGAACACTTATTCTTCATGCAAACTCATCTGTTGCCTGTTGCTTGTTATAGTTAGCAAATCGAAGATGTGCATGGCTAACATGGAGATCAGGCACTTCACTTCTTCAATCACAAAAACTCACAGCAGAAAAACAATTGATACATAACTCAAGGAGCTTTCTCACTATTTGCTCGCACTTTCAGCAAACTTCACTCACGTGGGACTCACATATATTGTTATTTGCGTTAATTTTGCAAGCTCTTGCTAGTGTTTACTTGATGAAAAGCTAAGTGGAAAGTACTAGTTTCATGACTGCAATAATTTGATAATATGAGGCCGCATAGTCACTTGAGTTTTTGAGAAATTGAGGTCTTCGCATTCATGAAAGGCCATTCTCAAGGGGAGGTTAAAAGCCAATTATAAAACAAAAATAATTCTTTCTCTTGGTGAAAAGTTAAATTTCTTCAATAAGCTAGCAAGTTGGTGTTGCAAGTAGGTTCAAGTTGAATCTCATGAAACCTCACTTGCAAGTCGTGGAACAAGTCTCATACTTGAAAGGAACTTCAGAGTATGGTAATTTCTTCTTCTTTTTTACCAAAAAGGAGTGTACTTCAAAGTTAGGTAGATGTTGTGATGCTAACCATGCAGGAATCATGGTACATGTTATCAACCAATTCTTGTGTATGTAACTTGAGTTCTGGAGCAATTTCCTGGTGTAGTGGCCTAGTAGGCAACAATCTGCTATATCCTTGTCACCTTATGAGGCAGAGTATAGAATAGTAGTGATGGTGGCTCGAGAAGTCTATTGGAGACTTGGACAAAATCGTTAGTTACTTCATTCTCCTTTCATTGGGGGCGTCTAGTGGAAAATGCAGTTTTAATATTCAAGCAAAACGTGTTGAGTTTTACTGCCACTTTACTGGAGTGAGTATTTGACGGAGAAATAGAGACGAAATTGTCGAAACAGAACGCCAAGTTCGCAAACGTTTTTACCCTCTGCAAGGTTGGCGACATGCAGAGAGTAGCTTGACGTGATAGCAAAAACAAATTAGGTTAGTGTGTAATTGGAGTCCTGTGTGCACATATACTTCACGTGTTCTTTATAATAAAATTCAGCTTCCTGTTTCATTGCTCACCTCAATTTCAAGTTGAACATGTCTACTGACAAATGGAAATTGCCATGGCATCACAATCAGATGTTTTGGATCAAGTTGCATTACCCTATTTGAGCCGTGGCAGATGATGTCACGTTAGTCAGGACTCACGGTAGTCTTAGTTGGCATGAGCCAGTGTGTGAGATCTTCCATGAGTATTAAGGTTGGCACTCATCACAACCATTAGGCTTAAAGGTTGTTCATAGCAAAGATGCATCAGTGCATCATCATTCGATTTGGATGGAACCGTTTCAGCTACTTTCTGGCTTGTGGCAACTTGTCCATTTTGGCTGTTGATTTACAGTGTTCACTCAATGCATTAACATTGTTCCCTAGGGAGAAAGAATTGGCTTCTGTCAAGATCAATGCAGGTGATGTTGACATAATTGCTAACGAACTCGAGGTCAGTTACCTAATGCCATGCGCTTGAACACTTTTATTCTCTGGTCTGAGCTGTCTAACATTGGATGCTAAATACTGAAAACAGCTGGACCGGAAGGTGGCTGAAAGGACCTTGCGTGAGCATAAAGGTGATGCGGTTGCTGCAATTCGTTCCTTGCTTAGATAAATCGCGCGAAAATTGGGCATTTGTAATTTTTCCGAGGACTTCCCAACTTGCCATAACATTGTCCAAGTTGGATCCAGAGCTGTACGAGTCATGCTTCTTTTTGGATATACGTCTTGCCTTCTATGAGATTCTTGTACCGTTGCTGATTCTCGGTTGCTACCAGATGTGCATCCCTGCATTTTTTCCCTTCCATGTTTTTCATGCTGGGAGTTTTGGACAGTAGGAAAATCATGTATAATTTTTTAGGAACAGAAATCATAGAACCACGAGCCTATGCTCAGTAATGTGAGGGTGTTTTCCAATACTAAGTTTGGAAGGGCTGTTGGGTTGATGCCTGGTGGTCTGGTGACTTTAGGCCAGAGCTTATTAGACGGCATTCAATTTGAGAAACTAAAGTCGCAAACTCTCTGGAAAACTAAGACTTACAATTGAATGTAAAATTTTGTTGAAGTTGCTGCTGGCACGCTAGGCTATATTGACTGTAGAAAAAGCATGGTCGTCCCTAGGTCACGCGGTCCAGTACTTTCCAAAGTTTTTCGGACAGGTATCTTCATTGATGTATTTCCATGAGGTGAATAGCTTGGACTAGTGTCGATATAGAGGCAGAATCTGCCTTGAGCCTCAGTAGTGTGTGACCGGTGTTACCATTGCAAGCGATAGTTAACGGAATAAGTGCATTGAAAGTTTTAAAACTTGTCACGGAAGTATAATCAAGTCTTAAAATTTTTAGAAAGTACAATTAAGTCTCGATACTTGTCACGAAAGTACAGCTAAGTCTTAAAATTTTTAAAAAGTGCAATCAAAACTTAAAACTTGTTAAATTGATCCAATTAAGTCTTTCCATTGATTACGCTTTTTGAAAATTTTAAGACTCCGTTACATTTTCCTGAAAAGTTTTAGAAATTGATTACATTTTTTGAAAGTTTTAAAACTCAATTATATTTTCATGATAAATTTTAGGACTTATAATGCACTTATCTCAATACATCGCGGCATGCCGTTTGTTCATTCCTTTGTGTGGTTGACCAGGGATGAGTTCACACGGTGAATCAGGTTGCCTTGCAATTCAGCAATAACAGAGCCAACAGATAATCCGTCTTCACGGAGGAAATCTCTCTGTTTCACCACTAAGAGCCGTCACAGCAGATTTGATTTGTACAGCTTTATGAGAACCTAATGTTTTCCTATAAATGTACCACAAACAAATGGATGACATGCCTAATGTGCTCAGCCTCTACTTGCAACATATCTACAAGATCCTTCGTGACTTCTGGTAAATGCACAACAGCGACACAGTCATCCTAGATCCACCTGCAATGAATGCTCATATGAAGGACAATCATTCCTTTCTCTCAAAATGGTCTCAAAAATCTGGTTGCCGGAATTTCATGGTCCGGAGGCGGCAAAGTGGGTCAAGCCTGGTTGGCAACATCAACTTCCTGGTGAATAGCCCAGGACTGCTTGGACCGTTAGCCATTGTAATGAATAGCCAAATCCTTTCGAAGCACCGGATGTTTCATGTTTCCCTTTGAGTGCTGTCCCTGGCGGCGGAGCGGGAAGCCTGGAATTGAAGTACGTTCTGTCTCTGCAAATCTTTGAGTCTTTCCAGTAGTTCCTGGAACGTCGGTCGGCACTTTGGATCACTGGTTAGGAGAAAATGCAGTTCCCACGTCAGTATCGAATTGTGACAAATTTACAATTTTTTTTCCTCACAAAAGAAAAGAACAGCTCCTGAATGAAATCAACTTGTGCTAAAAAAAAAAAGGTCATGAAACTGCATAACTACAGTGGTACATGTAAAATGCTCATCGAGATGGAGCATCGTGTTCTATATCCAATTCTATTGCATTAGAGACCAGAAAAATGCTTCTCCATTTTCTACCCAAGATGAATGAATTATCAATTGCAGACTCCAGGCTTCTGTTTAGTGTACTTAGGGCTCTATAAACACTCAAGGAGAATAAGCACCTGTGCCAACAGCTCTCGATTATAGATGCCCACTGTGGCTCGACATCATGAGGGATATCCAGCCGCTGGTTCATAAACCCCACAGCACCAATCACCTGCAAGTATCCTGAGTAAAGCGTTGTTCAAAGCTTTTCGAATTATAGATGTCATTGTAATTCCTAATAGAAACAAAAGGGAGAGAAAAAGACAGCAGATCGGGCATAGTCATTCACTCCCCTTTCATGTTCACATAAGGAATGTCGCTCGATGACATAAGGTACAAAGCCTGCTAAGTCCATCTCCACAGAGAAGTGAAAAAGAGATCCGAGATGCAATGTATTCTAGCCAATCAAAGGGATGCCACGATGCCATTTTTAGTGGATCTTGCTTACTGATTAAAAAACTAAAGGTCCATTTTTTAGAAGAAAAGGAATGCAGTGACGGAAAAGAAAAAAATACCTGCACCGCGTTGAGATTATCCCACGGGATCTTCTGGGTGGCAATTTCCCATAAGACCACTCCATAACTGTACACATCAGATCTGGAGATGCAGAGAAATATTGTAAGTAAATTAGGATACCAGAGCCATCTTTAGATCGTAGTAGTCTTGTAAGTAAAATTTAACAGACAAAAACATACTTCTCGTCTGAGGCTTCGTTACGGAGAACTTCTGGTGCCATCCATTGAGGCTAGAGAAAGAGAAATTGCAGGTCAAGTCAGCCAAGAATTATCATATCAGATAGTTAAAGAGTAAAGTTACAGATGATGACTAATGAGAGTTATTGAAAAAATGGTAAGTATAATTTCCGTACCGTTCCCTTCCCTGTTTTTGTTGTGAGATACGCTTCATGTTTCAGACGCGACAGACCAAAATCACCCACCTAATTTACAATTTTAGCAAATCATAAATGAGCTCATAAGCAAAACCCGTATATCGCATCTGAATAAAGGAATATATCATGGGACAGAAGGACAGAACTCTGTACATAAGAGGACATCAAAAATTGTGGCCAAACCTTCACATTCCAATTCTTGTCAACTAAGAGATTCGAGGACTTCAAATCACGATGAATGATAGGTGGATTGTAATGATGCAGATAATTCATGCCTCTAGCCTGAAAAAGGACCAAATTTGATAATCACGTGTTAAAAGCAGCGAGATAACATACAAGAGATTAGTAGATTTCAAATAGCTGAGGAACTCTGAAGACCAAAAGTTCACAGGCCAAGCAGTCTCAGGAGGTTAGGAATGCTAAGGTTCAAGACAATTGTCTCAAATTTTTATTAGTATAGAAGTAAAATGTACATTCAAAAGATATCAACAATAACAAAATGAGGGCAATATGAAAAAGAGCAAAACAAACGCTGACAGGGAAACAGATGAAAAAAAAAATTCAGGTGAAAAACACTGCACCTAGAAGAGGATGAATTTATTTACGTGAATAAGAAGCAGACACTTACCACATCCAAAGCCATATGAACACGCCGTCTCCATTCTAACTTGGTTGTGTTCCTCTGCAGTAAGCGAAACAAACTTCCACTGCATCAACACATGTAACAACTGTTAGCTCCATAGAGACAGGATATCAACAGAAATTACAATCACCACAAACCAATAAACCAGACACTACAACAAACTTTAATAACGATGTGTCATATAATCAAAGAGCCTGATTTTCAAAAGCATCGAGAAAGTACCGTGGAAGAAACTCTGTGACTATGCAGAGGCGCTGAGGCGAAGTTACTGCTCCCATGAAAAGCAAAACATTGGGGTGCCGAAGTCTTTTCATAAGAAGCACCTGCAAGGACAAAAAAACTGTCATATTAACGGTACTTTATGTAAAGTAAAAAAAAATTGTGGTAACATCAAAAGAGATTCTCAGAAATCTGCACGGTATTATGCATGCAGAGGGATAGGGCATGGATATAACAATCGCAAAGTCCTATGAAAAAGTTCCTCATTTTGAGTAAAATGAGAAGGTATATTTCCTTTTGTTGACCCACATACTGCTACATCTATCCAACACGCCACAATTAATCATAATGCAATCGATCAAGGCATGGAAAGTACCAGGTAAAACATCCATAATCCATTGGCAAACAAAAAAAAAAGATAAAAACCTGCTATCACCACATGCACTGGAAAAGTTGTATTACTGTATTAGTGGAACAACACTCGAAATAAAATTGCCAATGCCATCACTAATAGAGCTGTCACCAATAAACTATATCTGTGGTTTAAGGAAAAAATCCCAGCTGATACAGAATAAGCACCAAAAATTCTGTTCATTAAAAGGCTTGACAAATATTATACAGTAACAAAATATGGGCTAGTCATACAAGTGCAGAGAGATAGAGATAAATGCATGCAGTTCTAACATATTAGTCACTCTTACTTCATCTCTTTATCACACTGGTTTTCAGAATGTTCTTGCTAAACCATCTGACTATGTAGTTCTTATCAGTAAAAGAGAACCATCAGAAGATGTAGGGGCAAGTGACACCATAGACAGTCATTTGGCACCACGACGTCGACTCATCACATCCTGGGGTAATAAAAAATCACTGTTTGGGCTCATTATCAACTAAAAGGCCAACTTATCATCTCTCACTGCCTCAATCTGGATCTAGATTATCAACCGGCATTACAACCTGTCAAGGAAGGCCCTTATCAAAATTAAACTAGCCATCTTGCATCCAGCAATCACTAATCACTACCATAACAATGTTTTAGTGATGTCAATTAACAAGTCAAGGCCAGCAGACAGGCTAAGAGCAGGACATAGTTTGCATATCATGTCCTACGAGAGATGCCTTATTCAGATTAAAAGGTCTAAGCGACCTTCAGAATGTTCTGGCTGAATAATACTAAAAACAAAGAGAACTTATGAGACGTAGTAAAACAAAAAAGAAAACAGACCTCTTTCTTAAAGGAACATATCAGTTCTTTTGAATATTCTTGCATCGAGAATACCTTCACTGCCACGTCCTGCAATTGGATTGAATGCAGAGAAAGTTAAAATCCAAAAAAAATCATCAACAGGAAATCGCATAGGTCTATACCAAACAGTGAGATAAAGTAAGAAGCCAAATGCATTGCACTAAATCTCTCATTTAGCAAAATAAGTAAAACATAGCAGAACCTACCAACTAAAGTTACCCACGTCATTTAGTCATAAATGGGAACAACATGATCTCACAAAGTCAATTACAGCACCAGGTGATTGCAAATAACAAATTAAGACATCTGTACAAGACTTCTCTCCTTTCTTTCCACTTCTCCTGAACAAGAATTTGTGCCACATTTATCATGCCACTCCTAGCAAAACACAGAATAATACCTACTGTCCAGACAGATGACACATTTCTCTCCTGCGTTACATGTCCGCAACATGACTAAAATTCACTCCACCAACCACCATGCATTACATATTATAAAGAGAACTTGAAGTCTGTAATTGAATAGCATAAGAGATAGCCAAACATTGCCAGAGGAGTGAGATAAAAAAATATGTATACCATGAAGTCAGGTATATGCACTTTACATCATGACACCAAAGTAATGTCTAAACCCAATGATTCAAGGCAAAGATAAAATATTTTGGATATTATGCATCACTCTGTTAAACTAAAACTAAGGAGAGTAGAAGAACATACTGATCCGTACCACAGAGCGTGATAGACAGTTCCACAAGAACCTGAGAGAGGAGGAACAGCAGACTAAACATCAGAATGAATACTAAGAAAGTAGAGTTTATTAAAATTCGCAAACACAGGGAAACAAATATGACCAAATGATCTCAGAAGCAAGAAAAAACTACATTGCATGAGAATAATCTATTGAGACCGGATGCATTTGCAGTGCATCTCGGCAAAGTTATCGAGGAATATACATATAAACATCAATATGAAAGAATAAAAGATCTGGTTTTTCAAGAACTATCCATGATTTGCAACAATAGCACTCATTTTAGGGCCTATGTCCTACTGGCATAATGAATAGCCAAACCCAAAATTTAAGAAAAACTACAAGCGAAAAGCATACTACTTTCCTGAAAGACGGTTACCTTGCCCAATTTGTTCTCCAATTGTCAAGTCTTCCCACAGTATCTCACAATCCAAACAGTCTGCTTCGATGTCCACCTTATTCACAGCACCACTACTTGTGCTTCCACAGCTACTGGCACTGCTCGTGCTGTTAACATTAAATGAGGACCATGAACCTGATGCTTCATTGACAGTGCGGTTATTTTCATTGGTCTGATTTTCTAGATTAGCCATGGGAGGACTTATCTTTTCTTGGTCATTCTGCAATGATACGAAACCTGATCTTCCAATCCTGGCCTCTGATCCTTCCCTTTCATTGCCTTTCCAAGGCCAGGATAGCCCCCTTTTACCAATCCATGCCTCTGCCTTGGATGTAATGATCTTGTGAATCGGCGGTTTTTCACTCTCTTCACTAGAATCTTTAGCATGTTTTCCTGGCGACTTCTCCTCCTTTTGGTAGTGAACACCAAAAGAAGAAGGAGGTACATCTCCCCTGGGCGTGCTTGCGCCACTCGATGCTGCATCCTCCCTATTGTCATCTGAGAGACAATTATCAGAATGATGAGTATCACTACTCTCATTCTCACGATCGATATGATTCTCTCCAGTCCGAATCCTCGACTTCACTTTGTTGCTCACCTTGGATGCCTGTTAATTTGGTTCCAACAATAAACTCGCGGTACATGGCAACAAACCATATGATATTTAAAGCAAAAAGACTGACCAAATTGGATATCTTAGAGGCAATTGCAACTTGCAGAGGCTGCTGAGCATCAAGGCCAAGCTTGTTTGTAGCAGTGATTTTCAGGCGGCTTAGGCTTGACTCTGCTGCTGAGTGCCTCACTTCTGGCATTTCAGTTCTTGGCTCCTGAAAGGGCCGCGAATCGCTTGAGACGCATATGATACCCACCAGCGTTCCATCGTCGTCATAAAATGGAGTATTCGTTGCAACAGCTGAAAATCTTTCGCCCAACTTATTCTTGACAGGGATCTGTCCCATCCATCTCTCTCCCATGATCGCCTGATTGACAATCTTATTTGCTATTCCAAAGTCTCGGGGATCAATTAGGAGCTCAATGGCATCCTGTCCCAGGGCTTCTGATGCACAATAACCATATAGGCTTTCTGCAGTTTGGTTCCTGCAAAATCAACATTGCCCGGTCATTCTCAGCACTTAAATAGGAACAACACTAGAAAGTAAACAGGTTCTGAAGATTTAACCTTTCTCTACTCTTTGAGTAACCCCTAGCAGAAACCAAAATCTGACCTAAATTTCGCAGCCCCATCGTATTTTCCATATCCACAAATTAAACCACTATCTGAACATCCCACCGCAGGAGAAATGAGAGAACAAACTAAACATTTCGAGCAACTCACCAGTAAATTATACGACCCCCGAGATCAAATATATGAACAGCCTGCCCCATAGACTGCAGAATGTTCAAATACTGTCTTTCCGTGAAATTCATCTTGGCAGGCCCGCCGATGAAGCCTTCCGCGCCTCCCACATTCGGGGGCTCGTCGAGACTCCGGCTCTCCCTCTGCAACGGCGACGAGTGCGCGAAAGTAGCGGAGCCCTTCCTCCACCCGGGGCGAGCCGCGAGCCCCGCCCGCCTCCGGGCGGCCGACCGCTCGGGCGACACCGAGTGGGAGCGCTGCCGGGCGCGGTGCTCGGGCCTGCTGGGATCGGACCCGCCGGACATCCGGAGCCTCGACATTTCGTGCTTGAGGTGAGCCTGGCCGGCCTCCAGCTCCTGGATCTTCCGGAGCAGCTCCTCCGCCGCGGGGTTCTCCATTCCTAGGGCGGCTTATTCCAGTTCGATCGCGCGCTGCCTAAAGCCCCCCCAACCCCCGCTCTAGGGCACGATCATCCTACTCCCTCGACTCCATCAATCCCGCAGCCTGAAAACTCGAGCTCAAAAGACGAACCCCTCTCCCCCTCCCCCTCCCTCTCTGTCTCTCTAGAAGATATCTCACAAGCTACCGCTTACAGCCGATGGAAAGCACCGATTCGCCATTGACGCACACTCTCTCTCTCTAACGAACTGCAGAGAATCGATAGAAGAAGAAGAAGAAGAGGAGGAGATTGGCTACTTCCAATGGTCAATGAGCTTTCTCTCTCTCTCTCTATCTCTATTGCTTCTGCAGAGGGGTTTGGTCCAGGCTTCTTCCTGCTGTCGTTGCTCTGTCACTCATCGCCATCATCATCATCTGAATCTTGAACTGTTTAGACCATAGGTTAACCCTTTCTTTTTTTTAACTACCCCAAAAAGGGATGGTGGCGCGGGCAGATGCTCCCCCCCACCCGCACGCGCTCGCGCGGCGCGTGGCGAGCCCCGGCCCGGGGCGGCGGCGGTTTCCTCCGGTCGGGCCGGCGCGTGGTCGGCACGGGGCGGCGCGGCCGTCGCGGGATAAAGGGGAGGCGCCATGGGGAGTGGTGCGGGGGGGCGGTCTTCGCTTTTGAGGGGGGGGGGGGGGGGGGGGGTTTGCCTTTTTTGGGTTCGAGAGGCCACACAAGTGCGTGCGCCAAATTACGGCTGTCAACGTTATCGAACGGCAAATCACGGGGCTGGTCAACACGACCACGAGACTTAAAAGGCACATTTTTTCACATAAATATCCCTCAAATATAAATAGAATGCACGATCAACATAATTCCTATATTTGTAAGTTCATTTTCTTCGTTGAAAATAATTTTTATATCGAGTCGAGATGACGATATTATATCCCGAACCAATTGCTTAGCTAATGAAATGATAGCATGAGATATCGATACGCGAAAACAAATTCAACAGGTCGATGCAAACTGACAAAGCTTCATGTTCTTATGTATTTACTTTTGTACTGGTTTTTGCATCAATCAGCATACTCTCTCTTTTTTTTTCGTGTTAAAACTATATATTCAGGAGGCATTATTTGGTCGCTCTAATTCTAAGAAGATATCCATTCTATGCGTTGTTTCGGACATTAGAAGACCTCCCAGTACATTATTGCTTTACCTGACTTATGAATATTATTCGCTGTAAAACTTGTTCGGTGCCAAACCAACTTCTATAAAATAAATAAAAATTTAAGCTTGTGCAATCAATATAGGATCATGGTATCACGACCTTGTTTGTAATTTCCCCTCGAGGGAACTTAAGATATCGCTTGCATTTTATCAAATTGGAAATAGGCCGGGAAAAGTAAGAAATATATAATATATATAGAGAGAGAAATTAATGTGGAATTTCAAAGCAAATGGTGCAAATTATATGTAGTGGAAGCTCTTCCTTGTGAGTTGTGATGATGAATTATCTTAAGACTCAGAGGCAATTATATTTTTTTTCCATAATTTTCTTTTCTTTCTAATTGAATCTAAAATGATACAAGATATAGCCCACAAGTAATTACAAAGTCTAGCACGTCAAATTCAAGAAGCTTGTCGGTTTCTCCTAACGTAAAAGTACAAATTACCTTTTCTCACCAGCCAAAAATCAGACTATTATTTGAATTCCAAAAATATCACGAAAAAATTGTATGTGATCCTACGCATCAAAATTTGCATTCTGTGAAATTTTCAAATACTTCCGATTGTAAAAAAAAAAAAGTCAGTACATGAAGCACAAGATTCGGATTAACCAAAAATTAAAAAGTAAAAATCAATCATACTTAATCCAAATCTTACAATAAATGCACTTTGCCTTTTTTATTATTTCGTAACACCCCAAAATTTCACAATGCATAAATTTTGACACGTCCATCCACGTATAAGTTTTTTCATAGTTCCAGCAAAAAAAAGATTTTTCATAATTTTTTAAATTTTTTTTTAAAAAAATTAAAAGTTTTGATTGGCAAAGCAAAGTGAAGAAGCTTTTTTACATTGCTGAAGCATAAACAAGCATGACTTAATTTCCTTTCACATGATGAAACGTGACCTAATTTCCTCTCTCAATTCATCATGTGATAAAAAAGAGAACAGATAAGTAATGCTGGCATATAGTTCGTATGTAGATAAGACAAAGCTTTTATGCATCTAACTCCAATGGATAGAGTTGAACTTGGTCAAATATAGCTGCACAAAAAACGCTCTTTTATCTAGACATCATCATCAATCTAACGGCTGATTTTACGGTCTCGAAAGGCACCGTGTCTTTCGAGAACTTTCACGGTTGGATTGAAACATAACAAATCTCAATCGTGTAAGCCAAAATCTATTGAAAATGTAGGATATATTACATTTTGATCTAACAGTAAAAGCCTTGGGAAATCATAGCGCATTCCGGAAACTATAGGCTAACCCTAAATTCAAGGATTTCTTTTTGGCCAGAAAAGCATATCGGTAGTGATCAGGGGTGGAAATTCGCTTTATTTTCTAATGGATGGACATGAAGGACCCTCGGTAACCGATGGTCTACCTTGGATCATTGGTGGTGGTTACTGATGGTACCTCACAGAAGTAGGGGAAGCAAGCTTCTGACTGGAGGTGGCCCGCCTATCTAGGTGTATACACTTGGCGGGCTGACAGAACTGCATTCCTTATTTTAACATACCGGTGCCCACACACCCAGTCCCCCTAGTTGGGGGACAGTTTTTATTCCCTCACTCCAGGGAATACCCTTGCACTTAACATCCCAGAGTTCGGGCGAAACAGTTTGAAGATTACTTAGCTCCACTTTTACCATAAAATGGAGAGAGAATCCTTGTTGCCCTTCTATTCAATTGAGCCTACTTTTAGTTTATCATTTTGCTAAATTTGAGAGAAAGCTGCCGAAGGGGGATGGAAAATGGACAAACCCATCGACCCTTTTCTTCTCTAGTTTTCAGTCCGCGATTCTTGTATTTTATCTACTCACGAATCTCTTTATCAAGCTTTTACTTTTTTAATATATTTTTTCTTGGTTCTCTTTTCACCTTTCGGGGAGAATAACACCTAAGTTGCATATATGGGGAATTACGTGCGCGCACGCGTATTTGGATGAAGACAAGAAAGTGCAGCATATGCTCTCCTTTTGTTGCTGCATCTATCTTGTATTAAATTAAGAGCAAGTGATGTTTATTTATGGCTCTTTTGGGGCTGACCACATATATATTGTTTTTTTTAAAAGCTTCGAGGTTTATGGTCGTATGTGTCCTGGCCTCCTCCACAGCATTTCTGGAACATACTTTAATTTATCCTCTCCACCCACATTAATAAAAAAGAGAAAAAAAAATACTCGAGATTCAGAGCTTGACGTTTAATCAAAGTAAAATAAAATTATCGAAATACCCAAGAAATAAGGGAAAAAGCAAAAAGGTCACGTTAAGTTAAAGACACCGACGTCAAATCCATTACGGAACCGACTCATCTTTGGTGGGTCGGAGATTCTTCATTTATCCAAAGCCCAACGGTCCAATTACACGACTGATGCTGGATTTTTTGGGCTGGTGGTGTGGTACGGACTCGTGTTGGAATATCCCTGTTTTAGGAGATTTGTCTGTGTTTTAGTTCCAAAAGTGCAAAAGGCTGCGTTAGTTCCACACTGGCTCTTCTGAGTTTTGGCTAAATGTACACTCTTATTGAAATTTGAAGCTCTTCTTTTACACGACAAAAGCGAGCATGGGCGGCTCGACAGATGATTCGAGAGAATTTTTTCTCTCGATAGACTTCTCGTTGAAAACTCAGAAACAAAAGCATCAGGCCGTCCCGTTTCCTTACAAACAATAATCTAAAAGCTAAGCAACACTTTCACGAGGAAAACTTCTTCAGGACAACAATTTGAGGAACTCTCCATCGCCGTTATGGCTTCACTTGGTGTAGAGAACATCTTCCCATGGATGGCGGTACAGAGGCTGCTTCAGTCTCTTCTGGTCGAAAGTGTGCCTGAAAGATTCAATCAACAGCCTCAGTTAATGAATCAGTGTGATGCTACAAATACTAAAACCATACTGATCCCTGCTTCTTCTTCTCATATGACCAATGTGTTTAATTGTACTCTTTTGTCAATAACAAGTTATGTATGCAACAGCAGTTGGTTTCTGAGAGTAAAACTAAACTATCAACCCCATTTACTGAGCAAAAGCTGCACGGAGTTCAATAAGCAGGATGATCAAGCAGAGATTTCAGGCCCATAAAAACGTGAGTACTTAACTGTATATTGACGGTAAGCATATAGCATACTGGTCAAGACGAGAATTATCGTAAATATGTATCTAGCTTACCCGATCAAACCAATGGATCGTGCCAGTACAAAGAGCCCATTCAGATATCCTATCTCAACAATCTCGTCAACCTCTTGCTTGGTGAACATTCCACTTCCGGCAAGGAGATCCAAGAAGAGGGAACCAATAGCACCATCGACATTCATGACCAAATTATTCGACTTTGAGAGGGTGTATGTTTCAACTTGAACAGCATATTCCATGTACTTCACGGAAGGGAAATTCGATCGTGCAAACCTTTGTAGCAGCTCGACTCTCTTATCCCTATTGTCCCCTCTCTTGATCCTTATTCAAAGGAAGCATATAACAATTTCAGATTGTCAATTTATCTGTAATAGACATTCGAGCATGAAATAATATAGAAGACCAAACCATAAGAACTAGATACCTGTGCCCAATTCCAGGAACCCGAATGCCCTTTTTCTTCATGCCTTCAACAAACTCATATGGAGTAAGACCCTGACGATACAGAGGTGAAATTAGACTCAGTCAGAAACATCAAAATATGACTGCGCTCAAAAACCATTTCATCAGCACCCTGATGAGACATGCATCTTACCCTGTCATAAGCATCTTTGAAGTATCGAGCAGCATCATCAATGGCCCCACCGAAACGAGGGCCAATTGTTAGCAAACCTGTTACAGAAGCTCATCATTTAGCACTTTTAAAAGCCATTTCT